GTTCAGCGGAACGCCACCGACGTATATGGTGTTCACATAATGGACGTGAACTTGATGATAATTATTGTTTACAAACTGATAATGAAAAACCATCGACAATTGAAATATGTACTAAAGATATTTATTGTCCTGATTGGGCTATTGGCATGTGGTCAGAAGTAAGTTTAGATTTATGCTTATATAAAAATGTTTCATACTACTTTTTGTTTTTAAATATTTAGTGTTCGGGTCCAATGTGTTCATCTGGTATGCAATATCGACAAGTTGTTTGTCGATATGCACATGAAACATTATTAAATATACATTGTGATGAAACAAGAAAACCATTTGAAATACAAGCATGTCATGTGTGGAATAATACGATTTGTTCAAATATGCGACCATTACCAACTTTAGAAAGTACATCATCATTTATATGGGATGTTAAACAATTTGGAGAAGTAAAAACTATTAATTCTTTAATTAAATAAAATTTTCTTTCTTTAATATTTAAAAATTTTCTTTGTTACTTTTAGTGCAGCGTAACATGTGGCATTGGTCGTCGTTTACGACAAGTTCATTGCATTAATGCTTTAACAAAAATTTCTTATGATGATCAATATTGTTCACATTTAGCAAGAAAACCAATTGAATATGAGACATGTAATTTAGGTTCATGTCCTGTATGGATTACAGAACCATGGTCACCGGTAAAAATTCTTTTTTCTTTTGTTTTATTTTTTAAATCTTTAAAATTATATTCAGTGTCCGGTAACATGTGGTTCTGGTACTCAACATCGTTTAGTTACATGTAAAAATCGAGAAGAAAAGGTTTCTCCAGAAAAATGTAATGGTCTCAATAGGCCAGCAACAACAATACAATGCCATATGATACCTTGTCCACTAAGTATTAGTAAAAATAATGATTTTTCACAATCATCAGCAATATGGATACCAAGTGAATGGTCACAGGTTTGTAAAATGACCAAAAGAAAAAACAAATTTATCTAAATAAGGTGTTTTTGTTTCTATTCAAGTGTGATCATACTACTTGTAAACAAACACGAACAACTCGATGTATTAATTCAATGACTGGCAAACCTTTGTCAATATGGGAATGTACACAGAGTCAATCTCAACCATTATTAAATCGAATATGTCCAATATCAACCTGTTTAGAATGGCGTGTAGCTCATTGGAATGGCGTAGGATACTTTTTTCTATATTTATTTTATGCTACTAAAAAACGAAAACAAAAATGCATTATGAAATTTTTGTTATTGTTTTAGTGCTCGGTTAAATGTGGTCGTGGTATTGAACTTGGTTTTGGTCTTGATTGTTATACTCGTCAGATGCCTATACGTAAATTAAACGCAAGTGAATGTGAATTAGCTGAACCTCATCTACCTAAACCTATTGCAAGACGAGTATGCCGTCGACGCTGCATAGAATGGCGAACAAGTAGTTGGTCTGAGGTAAATTTCTAGTAAAAATTAAACAGTGAAATTTTTCGCAGTGATTGAATGCTGAGAATAAATTGCATGTGCTTTCATCTCTGGGGCTCGTTGTTGAAATAATATCATGTAGATAAATTAATAGCTTGGGTGGTAGTATTTGCATGAATAAATAGTTCGAGAATGATTTTCGTTTGTTTTTCTTTTGTATATGCCCGTGCATGTGCACGAATACAGACACACAAAGACACGTTCAATATAACTGAACATATATTTATATATGTATATATATATTTCTCAATCATTTACTTGGATTTGATGTTCTTTATTTTCTTTTTCCTATATCACTATTGCCTCAAGCAGATTTCGACGAAAAGAACACTAATTATGAATGTGCTTTTCATCGTAATCTGTATATTTTCAATATTTATAACACGCATATATATATATATATATAGGATTGTCACAATATTAAAAAAATCAGTATATATATATGAACACAGCAATAGTTTCTATTTTCTTTTTTCCACCATCCTATGTGGTTCTATATATATATCTAACAGTGCGACGCCAAATGTGGTACAGGCAAAAGAACTCGACAAGTAACATGCCATCGAAAATTAAATGGAAAAATAATACCTAATCGATTTTGTATGCATAAACGACGAAATTTACCAAGACCAGTATCAGAAGAAATATGTACAAATGATCCTTGTTATGAATGGGTTCCAACAGAACAATGGACTCGCGTACGTCTTTTTTTTCTTAAGAAAATAAATAAAAATGAAAAAATATTGATTTTGTATTATAATAGTGTTCAGCTTCATGTAATGGTGGTTACGAAGAAAACATTCCTCAATGTGTTGAAATTGTAAATGATACTCAACAAATAGTTAATGATCAATTATGTAATGATGTCATTCGACCACAAATAAATCGTTTATGTAATACAGACCCATGTTTTTCGAAACCATATAATCCAAAAAGACGCCGTGGTCGTGGCCGTCGATGGGATGCTGGTTCTTGGTCACCGGTAAATATTTTCACAGATTTTCATTGGTTAATTAATATTTCAATTTTGTGTGTATTTTTATTAGTGTAATGTATCGTGTGGTGTTGGTGAACAATATCGAAGAATTCGATGTTTGGGTATCACGGATAATCGAATACTAAATAGTCGTCTTTGTCGACATATGCCTCAACCTAATCGTGTACAACAATGTTTTCAAGTTGCATGTCAACCTATGTGGGCAACAAGTGCATGGTCATCGGTATATTGATAAAGAAAAAATAAGAAAATCTATCACTGAATAACTTTGCTTTTTTAGTGTTCATCGATTTGTGGCACAGGTCTTGAATATCGAAGTACATCATGTCATGAAGTAAATAATAATGGATATTTGATGAAAAATAAATTATCAAATAAATGTGATCCATATCGAGCACCAACTACTCGAATATCGTGTAATATGGGTGATTGTGAAAGTCCATATTTATGGCATGTAGAACCATGGTCAAAAGTAAATTAGTTTTCTTTGTTTTTTTTTTTATTAATATATATTTATTTATATTCATATATTTATTGAATTATTATAGTGTTCATCGAATTGTAATCGAGGTGAACAATCACGTCATGTTTATTGTAAAAATAAACAAACATCTGTACCGGTTCATGATCGCTATTGTATTCTGCATAAGCCTGTTACACGTATTGATTGTTATGGATTCTGTAAGTTATTAGAAAAATCATTTCTTTATTTTTGAAATTATTATTTATATATTTAGTATTTGAATACGAACAAAGTACCAAGAGGTAACATTTAATCTAATTGTTTATCAATTATTTCTATTATTCTTGCTATATATTTAACGTACATACAACTTAGTTTAAATATATCACTGTTGTATTTCTATGTTGTATTGTACACTATAATCATTATGATTAATTATTTCAAAAACTTCCCTTACCCATTATAATATATATATATATGTATATATACATATATATTTATGAAAATTATTTTATATACACAAGAACGTGTCGTGTGTGTGTCTGTTTTTATTTATGTTTGATTATGATAGACATTTAGATTATTGATTTTTTCGTTTGAATTAACAATGCTACTTGATGTGCTTTAATATTATTTCTTCTGCTATTTAAATATTATTTTTATTTAATTGATTAATTTTTATTGATTTTATTTTATTCAGGCTTTGCTAAACAGTATATCATCAAAAAATTCTTGTCCATTATTACTTTTGCTCACAATCATTCTTGTCCACATTTTGTACAGGTAAAAATAAAAAATATATTCTTAAAAATAATATTTATTTTACTAAAAAAATAATATTTAATAGATTTTTCGATGATAATTTGAAATAAAACAAAACAAAAAACCATTCTAGATCAATCGGTCTGAATGACAATATGTATGTTATCATGTTGTAATTATTTATTCAATATATAAAATTATCTATTGTATAGATCTTTCTGTCTTCTTTGCTTATTTTTGTTTCTATCGAAATTCGTATCAATTTTGTCTTTATCAATTATTCTCGTAAAATCCAGATCTATTTTCTAAACATTGTTGTCGTGTGTGTGCTTTTTTCATCGTCTTCCAAGTCAGATTTTGTTCTACAATCATAGGTAAATATATATATATATATAAATATATTTTTCTTTTTCGTTTTATCTTTTGATTTTTAAACTTTGATTTTATCAATTTATTATTTAATAGGTGATGATGGTTAGCACACGTCTTCTTTTTCTTGTTAAAAATAATAAATACTATTATTTCTTGTCAATGAAATATATAAACGAAACAATACGAATATATGGGTGCTATGCATATTGAAGAAGCGATTAATGCCGTAATACGGACAATGCTTCTACTTTAGCTTTTATTTAATTTAGTTTATAGAAAGGTTTTAGTTATTGTTGTTTTGTTATTGTCGAGTTTCTTTTTTTCTTTTCTTTTCTTTTCATCTTATTTATATCGAAATAGAAAGTAGAAGTGTTTTTTTTTCCATTTTATATGCTATGCACGCAAATGTATTTGTTGTTACTTTTTTGTTATAAAGATCTCTGTTAATCCTCATATGTGTCGCGTTGTTCACTTGTGCAATAGAGCTGTCTCTCTCTTTCTTTCTTTTTTCTCCTCTTTCTTTTTTTTTTTTTTTTATTAATTTGGTTCTTTTTTCTGTTCATTTGTGCGTGTGTGTGTATTTTACTACTTTAGCATTAGAATTTCTCTCAGTGCTATTGTTTGGTTTTGCTCAGCTAATTTCATTTTGATTTTGCATTGAAAATGTTCTTTTTTTTTAAACTAGTATTTGTTTGTTTGTTTTTTCTTCAATGTCTTAAATAATTGACTGTGCTTTTTAAAAGTGTCTTTCTATTGTCATCATCATACATATATACATATATATTGAGTTATATTTTACTCATATTATTCTACACATATGTATGCTTAACAACAGAAAAATTACACACAACTAAATAAATCATAACCTGGGTAGACTACATTTATATTATAAAAAAATATATATTTTTATTTTATTGAACAATTAATCAGTTTGTGTTTTAAATGGACTATCTAATGATCGTTTTTTATCATAATTTGGTGTTATTGGTGGAGTTGTAGTATGTTGTGTTATATAATCAAATAGAATACGAAATTCTTCTTGAGATAATTTTCCATCACCGTTTACATCAGCTGTTTTAAGCATATCTTTGGCTTGCTTATCAGTTAGTGGTTCACCAAGATCTTTCATAGTCTTTTTTATTTCTTTAGCTGTTATATATCCATCAGAATTTCTGTCAAATGCACGAAATGTTTCTTGAAAATAAGCATCATGTGCATATTGACCATAATCTTGCATTATACGACAAAATTCATCAAATGATATACTAGAACGACTTTGAAATAATTCTTTCATTTTTATTTCATTAATTGGCATATGTAATTTTTCACATGCTGATCGAAGCTAATAACAAGATTAAAAAGAAAAATATTAAATCATTTTAGATTGAAAATTTGCATACTTCACTTGAACTAATAGAACCATCTTTATTCTTATCAAATAATTGAAATGTATCAAGTAATTGTGTGATACTAACTGATTGTTCAGACATTGTTGATTCTCTATTTAAAAAAAAAAGCAATTATTATTCATTAATTTCCAATTTTTTTTCTGCTTTCTTATTCATTTACCTGGTAATAACACCGTTGGTTTGTCTACTGAGACTGAATCGTGGTTATAAGATGCCTGTTTATATAAGTTTGTCTAAAATATCGTTAATTATCTAGTCAAAAGAAAGAAACAGGTATATTTATAGATGAAACGTCATCACAAACAGTCTTTGTACTGTTTAATGTTCTTGGTTTTTTCTTTTTTTTTCTTGACCTACCTAGTTATGTCGGTGAATTACAAATAAAATGGTTATGTTGCTATTCACGTTTAAGAAAAGGAAAACAATGACTAACAAGCATTAAGAAAAAAAAACCATTTTCCTTATTTATATTATGCTACATACACAAGTTACTTATATTGCGTGTCGATGTATGCTACTAGCTAAGTAAAAAAAAAACACAATAAAAGAGTATTTGTCTTTCAAAACTTATCTGCGTAATTTTAACATATATTAAAAAGGATTCTTTTTCGTTTTATTTTCGATGACGTAAATGATACTCTACATTTCGAATCGACGTCAGCAACCTGATGATAAGAAATTTAAAAAGATAAAAAATATATACTCGCATATCTAATCCATGAAAGAAAATTATGGCAAACAATAATTATTCTTAAAAGGGTTTCAATCGATACTTTTAGTATATCGACATGAAAACACTTCTGTTTATTTATTTATTTATTTAAGAATTATTATAGCAATCAATTAGGTTTGATAATTGTTGATAAAAAATATTTTATTGATTTAACATTATGTCAGAGGTTTGATAAAAAACTAATTTACCGAAACAGACGAAAGGAACAAAAAGAAAAAAAAATATATAAAGGAATATTTTTTTTTATCAAAAGAAATAATCAAAGTTAAGTGCAATGATCAAATCAATTGCAGGCATTACGCATAAACTGGTAACCTACTTATTAATGATGTTCTTCATATTTAACAGAAATCTGAATGAAAATATTTGATAAATAAGTGCCAAATCAGATCAAAAGTAATTCATATTTAACGTAAATATTTTTTACGGAAGAAAAATCAAATTTTTCTTCAAATATAAAAAGAAAAGATTTTCTTTCATAAAATTTCATATGCAAACATTTCAATGTGTTGCTTTTACTTAGAATGAAATATCTCAATAAAGAATGACATCGTCTCATTGAGACATCAAACTTGATTATTTTTTCTTGATTAGATAAAAAATAAGGAGAATAGGAATTCATGCGTAATACGATTGAATTTCAATCAAATATTCATTTCTTTAGTCTCAATCAAGTGTTGATGTATATTTAGAACAGTGAAAATAAATAGCGATTCTATGCTTGGTAGTAAATATTAATCTTTCATGGTAATGATTACTTTAAAATGAGTATTTTATCATATGTATCAAAACACACAGTAGCTATTAAGATTATTCAATAAAATTTATATTCAATTTTTTCCACTGTGTTAAACATAAAAAATAAATAATTAATCAAGTGGAGAAAAATATATGCAAAAAGAATATTAAAACAGTAATAAAGATGCTTATGAGATTCATAACGATCGAATTCTCAAAAATTGAAACCTCGTTTTTTTCAGGACACTGAGCGCACAAGTATAATTTTGTTCAGACTACACAATACGATAGAGAAAACAATGCTCTACAAAATGAAATATCTTTCAGTTCGATAGAATTTTCTTTTCTGAGGTACAGCAATTTGATTGAAGAACTCAAATTGAATGTTTTATAGATGAAAGTAGATAGAGTATTTCAGAAGCTTCTGTAAAATTTCTACGTCTCAGTTAAAAATGACTGTGGAGAACTTAGAGACACCTCGTTTTTGTACAGGATTATTTGATCTATTGAATACAATGATAATTACACGTTTTAAATGCTGAAAAATTGAGATTTTGGTCTTTTGGGAATTCTCTGTCATTGGAATTTGATCATCATATTCATTTTCTTATATTCCTTTTTGTAGATATATTTTTCATTTATTTGAGTCATTATCTGGATTCTTTTTAGTATTTCAGACAATGAAAAAAAATTGTAAATAAACTTTGTTGAATAATTTTTGTTGTCCCTATATTAATCTTGAAATAGAACATTTCATCATATATTGATATAAATCAAGTAATATCACATTGTACTCGAACTAACTATAAAGATTTCATTTTAATCCCGAAATAAATCTATAATTTTCCAAAGAGAAGTATTTTTTAAAGTTTGTTTAACCCTTTGGGGCCGTACCCGTATATCAACGGTTTTGAAATTTGACCAAGGGAAGAAGTCTTTAAATACACTTGTACTGATTGCTTTTTTAGTATGGACTTTTTATTTCAACATACGTGGTACACATATTGATGTTATGAAATAGCCTTACGTTGGCTCATCAACCAACTAGATTTACTGCTAAACATTTCTCAGAAAACTTGTGTTGTATGTACACAGACACTATCGAGATATATATAAAGATTGCGCTGTAAGTGTTTGTATTATTAGTTGTCTCGAGGAATTCCATACTGATTATATTTTTAGTTTTTTTTTCACTAGCTTTACTTCTGATATGCCATTGAATTGTTGTTCATTATATTTCTTGGATGTATGTTTCGTTTTCGTTATTTCCATATAGACACCGTGCATTTTTGTATTGAGTCTGGATGAAAAAATCTTGTTTATTAATTTTCAACTATGGTTGAGTTTTTTAAGTGAAAACTCAACTTTGCTCTGTAAAAATAAAGTCAGTTCTCAACGGGTTAAAAAGGGAGTGTTTTCAACTAATCAATCGCTTTTGAATTCGGACTCAGTACATCAACTAGAGTTATAGCATCTGGCATGATACACTCTTGCAAATCGAAAGATGGTATTTCAATCTGAGATTTTTCTCACAGACAGATTGATTTGTCAGTGAAATGCCTTGAAATTTCCAGCACAAAAGAATGTTTTCTTTCTGAGATACTGAACTCTCAAAAATTACTTATATTCCATGAAAGGTGTCAGAATTTTCTATCTTTTTTGGGACTTTAATATCTTAGAAAGAAAATATTCTTTTTTTAGTTGAAATTTTCAGGTATTTCTACCAACAAATAGATCTGTCTGTGAGCAAAATCTCAGATCAAAACACTATCATTCGCTTTGTTTGTATTTACTATGTCAGAGGCTCAACTTCTAGTAAAATCCCTATAATACTCGACCAGAGACCAAAAGAACTTCGGCTTGCTGCAGCATAAGGCTTTTCTATTTTTGGCATACTCATTTTCAATTATCTCGTAAAGTTTGAGAGCCGATAAGTTCGTTCAAACGTCATTCGATGCAGCTTATCACACTCTATTTATTTTATAAGAATGACCTTTTTGGACTGAACTCTAAGACCTCTAGGAAGGCTTTACCATCGCGTAACGCTGTTACATAAAAAAACCGTGTTCTCCAGTGCAATTAATAAAACTTCGATGTCTTGCGACAGTACTTCTCTAAATGAGATGTTTCTAACATCAGTTTTGCAGAGCATCGAAAAGGCTTTTAAGCGGTAAAAAAATACTATCTCTAAACTATTTTTGTTTCGATAAAAAATGCAAAAAACAAACGTAACGCTGTTGTACAGTCTTTTGTTGCCCAATTTTGAGGTATTTAACATGTTTAAAAGTTTTGATCTCTTCTGTATATCTAATCGTTGTACGCAAGAATCAAATTGCTACATCAACACGCGAGTTTATTAATTGCACATTAAGTTGTAAATTGTGCAAGAATGTACAAGTTGTTATTAGCGATGAAAGTCAAAAATAAATGAGCGACTTTGCAAAGAATTAAATTCTGCATCGGATAGTGTGTCATTCAGCATTTTTGGAAAAATTCATGGCTAAAAAATACAAAACATGATTTTTAAAAAAGTTTAAAATCCGGTTTTCAATGTCAAGCTCCAATTTTTTAAAGAACAAGAATTAAATTCGTAATGAGCATGAAAAACTGCATCCAACAATGCATTCAGATCTATTCACCGGGAAGAAATATGGTCAAAAACTTGATCAGCGAAGTGTAGTGTTACGTGGACAAGCTGACTTATCCTTTTGAATTTTTCATATTTCACTTGATTTTAGTGTATGTATTGAGTTCACACAGAAAAGCGATTGATCAGTTGACAACGTTCCCTCATAAAAAAGAACCAGCTTTATTTTGCTGGGAAAATTTGTTTAGGAAAGAAAAGATCCCTACTAATAATGCTACTTTTAATGAATTTATTTTTGCAATATACTGATATTGAGCGCCCTCTTTTTCTGCACTTTTTATAATATCAAAATCTGAGTGCAATTTCGATCCAATGAAAAATTTTTATGTAAATCATAGTATTACAAAAAAAGAAAGAAAGAGAATTCTATTCGATTAGAATCATTTGTGTTCATGGCTTTCGAACAGTCAGTCATTTGATATAAAACAGCCTTGTACTTGTAGATATACAGAAACATTTTCTTCGATAGAAATGGCTGCAATGGAGTTTGATGATGTTTATGAAGAAATTCGTGGTGTTCTTGTAAGTATTTGTTTATCGTCTATTAAATTATTAGATTCTTCATGTTTTTTCTTCTGTTTATAGAATCCTGGTCGTTTAAAATTAACATCAAATTCAGTTGTTTTTAAAAATTTACGAACTGGTAAAGTTGAAACCATAACTAAAGATGAAATTGAGAATATTAAATGGATGAGACGTTCACGTGGTTATGGTTTAAAATTTATTACAAAAAATGATTCATCTTTACGTTATGATGGTTTTAAAGATACAGTTGGTGTTTTTTTTCTAATGAGAGAAAAAAAAAAAACAAGACACATTTGTTTTGTTCTTAATAGGATATTGATCGTTTAAAAGAATTTATGACAATTAATTTTGGTAAAAATGTTGAAACACAAAAAATGGCAGTTAATGGTTGGAATTGGGGAAAAGTATCATTTGGAGGTAGTTAAAACATTAATAAATATATTATTATAAATTAATCGTTTGTTTTTCATATTTAGCTGGCAATCTTGCGTTTCAAGTTGATCATAAACAAGCATTTGAAGTTCCATTAAAAAATGTTTCCAATTCAAATAAAGGAAAAAATGAAATAACACTTCAATTTCATCAAGCTGATGATGCTAAAGTATCATTAATGGAAATTCGTTTTTATGTTCCACCAGGAGATGTTGATGGTGATCCAGTTGAAGTAATTATTAAATTAGAAGAAAATAACTTTTTCTAGTTTATGCATATTTAGGATTTCCATCAAAATGTAATGAGAGATGCTGCTGTATTAACAGCTAAAGCTGGTGATGCTATTTGTAGTCTATCAGATATCAATTGTCTTGTACCACGGTATAAAAAAAAAAATTTTTTTAGAACAAACACCATGATACTAAATTTTATTTTTTAGTGGTCGACATGAATTACGATTTTATCCAAGCTTTTTTGATTTACATGGAAAATCATATGATTATAAAATTCCATATAATCAAATTACACGTGGTTTTCTTCTTCCACATAAAGATAATCGACAAATGTATTTTGTGGTAAATTAATATTAATCAAATCTATTAAGAAAATACTAACGAGAGAAAGTCGAGAACGATTTATAATCATGAGTCTTTTTTCTTGCGTTATGAACAATTTTGTGTGCTTTTTTTTAAACACAATACTGATCTATGTTGCCAATCACCTTAAAAATCAACTATTGAGTTCAAATCTTCCTCACAGATGAAATTCTCAATGGAATTAGTTCTTTAAGAAAATATAACATTTCATAATATCATTTATTGTCAGATACTAAGAATCAAAATTCTTTTATGCATAACAAGTAAATGTTGTTATCATATTTGTAGGAGATATTGAAAAATTTGATACTTTCACAGGGTACTTAGTGTATTATGTAGATTTCGTCTTTTGGAGGAGGAATACCTATTTTTGAGAGCATAGAAATATCGTTCGCGTTAAAATAATCACAAAATTCTGCAGGATCAATCCAAAATTAGTCCTATGAAGAACTTTAGTTGTGCAAAGTTTCAATTGAATAATCAATTTTGACACTGATCGATGGAGAGAATTACAGCATTTTATTTAAAAAAACACATTAGAGAGTACCTAATGAAGTAAAATTCATTATCATTCGTTGACGTTCTCTCCTTTGTAAAAATCATAGATTGAATTCAGATAAAAAATATATCCAAAAAGAGTCTAAGAGGAAACAAACATATAAAGACTTGATATTCATTGTGTTATGTAAATCTTTTTTTAATCATTTTTTCGATCGATAATGTATATGAAAAATTGTCATGAAGTAGTCTTTGAGATTTGATACACAATAACAAATATCTACTCTCCATAATGTATGGACTGTAAGGTAAAAATTATTTTTTTTTTCTTTTTCATACTTTCTTTTTGTGGATGCATATTATCCTATTCAAATGCATATAGAATCTCAAATTATATGTGTTTTTTGTCTATACATAAATCCCAATATTTCTGTTTAGCTTAGTTTGGATCCACCAGTAAAACATGGTCAAACACGTTATCAATATATTATATTTGGCTTTAAAAAAGAAGAAGAAACAAAAGTTGAACTTTCATTATCACTGTATGTTAATCTAAATTAGATTGTTTTTGGATTGAAAATTTTTATTCATTATTTTGTTTTTTCAGTGAAGTTATTCAAGAAAAATATGGTAATAATCTTCATAAAGAAATGCAAGGTCCTTATCATGATATTGTATCACGTTTATTTCGTGCTATTACTGAACAACGTATAACTGTACCTGGCTCATTTACGAGGTAAAGAAAACCTTATTGTATAAATGAAAAATAATTGTTTTTCTTTTTTTGAATAGTAAAAGCGGTGCTAAATGTGTTGGTTGTTCATACAAAGCATCAGCTGGTTTACTTTATCCACTTGAACGTGGTTTTATTTATATAACCAAACCACCAATATATATTCATCATGATGATGTTGCTTCATGTGGTTTTAATCGTTCAAATACAACTACTGGTCGTACATGTGATTTTGAAATTCAATTAAAAAGTGGTGGATCACATGTATTCAGTAATATTGAAAAGTAATGAAATAGTTTTCTATATACAAATACGAAAATGAAATTCATGTTTGGCTGTTTCTTTTTAGGGAAGAAGCTAAACCAATGTCGGATTTTCTTAGTTCAAAGGATCTTCGTATTCATGCAGCTAGTAATTGGGTAATTTGAAAATGATATTCATTTAAGAAAAACAACAGTTATTTATATTTTTAGGATAAAAAGATTAATTATACAGTAGACAAAGATCGTGATATTTATTTGGAACATGTACAAAACGAAGGTCAAGAACGAGAAGATGAAGATGTAAGTTAATTTGTTTAAGAAAAAAAAAAGAAGAGTTATTATATGTTTGATTTATAGGATGAAAGCGATGATGAAGAAGAAGATGAAGACTTTGAAGGTACAAAATAAAAGACTTTCTTTTATTATTATTTTTTTTTTTTGAAAACAAAAAACATTTGTTTTTGAAATATTTCAGGTGGTGAAGAAGAAGAAGATGCACTTGAATATGATAGTGAAGCATCAATACATTCAACTGAAGATGAAGATGAAGATGGAAGTAAAAGTCCATCGTCATCAAAAAAACGTAAAAAATCTGAAGCATCATCTACTTCTTCAAAGAAAAAATCAGACGAGTCAAAGAAAAAATCAGACGACTCAAAGAAAAAATCAGACGAGTCAAAGAAAAAATCAGATGACCCAAAGAAAAAGTCGGATGATTCAAAGAAAAAGTCGGATGATTCAAAGAACAAATCGGATGATTCAAAGAAGAAAACTAAACAAAAAGAATCACCAAACAAAAAACCACCAAAAAGCAAAGAACAAATTGAAGATGATTCTGATTAATTATATAACTAGCAAAGCTTCATTTTTTTTTCATTTGTTGTGCGTATGTGTAAATACTCTATTACAAACACATGCTTATCTTTTGTTGTCTAAATAAAAAAATTATCATTTAAGAGTAATATAGATAAAAATATGTTATCAACATTTGTATTATAATTAGCAATTTATTATGTACATATTTAATTAAAAGAAAAATGGTTACATTCAAGAATGATCTATTTACAAGTAACGCGTCGGCCATTGGGCCTCACTTGACTCAATCCTGAAGGCAGCGAATAGAGACAATAACATAATACTCTCAAAAACAAAATTGTGCACTTGATCGAGTGATATTTTTTGGATTCTTGTTATCGTAGTCGGCCACTCAATGAGAACATCAAACATTTCCACCGAGACCTGTAAAAACGCGCTTCATTTGAAGGTACCAAAGTAGCTTCTCGTCAGTCGTCGGCGCCACTCCCGACTCGTCGCTCCTATTTGATCCCTGCGTGTATCTATGAATGACATCTTATAGGGAACTACTAAGGTCTTCGCTTCAAACTGTGAGAACAACGCAATCTAAAAGTTTGAAAACACTTTTCTATTTTCTTTAGGAGCTAGTCTAGAACAACATAGACGCTTATAAAAAGATCTTATAAAAAAATCAATTGGTGCAAACTAGAATGTACTTGTTCCAATTCTTGATTTCAAATTATTCAATAGTGACACTAACAATGAGACTGATATTAGTCGCAATGAGTCTGAATGAAGTTTCGAGATAATTACATTAATGGCTAATTATGGCGGGAGGTTGAAATAAAAAACCNCAGTAAAAAATAGATGCTTGATCAGTAAAAAATGCATATTTGATCATTAAAAAAATAAGTTTTGCCTATATAAATTATAATTTAGTATAAGAAAAATAACATTGAATAAATAAAAAAAACAGAAAGTGTAAGTAAGAAAGAATCCAAAAGAAACATGTGCTAGAGTTTAGAGAATGAATGAAAAAAAAAGAAACAAAAATTGAATTATTGTACCAGCAAAGCAGGTTTAGCCTTTGCTGGTCTACCTCTTTTTCTTTTCTCACCAATTGGTACTGTCTTTGCTGCTGCTGGCGGTTTACAATATTTCAAACGAATTGCCATACCGACAGCGTGTTTGCATATATAGTTCTTTAAAAAATCTGGGCAGTTGCATTTTGATATTTTCCAATCTGAACCATTTTCCATTTCCATACACCAAATATCAAATGACTTTTTGAATTGATTAAAAGTTGTCCATTTTTTATTTTCATATTTATCTAAGGTGGCTTGTGTAATGGATTGTAAATCACGAGCTGGTATATAATATTTTTTTGAGGAAACATTTGGAATACATACTATGTCTTTTATTAATTTAGCCCATTGATATGATGAAGTCCATAATTTTAAAGATATTGTTGGTTCTATAGCAAATAATTTTACATTAATTGAGGAAGTATCTCATTCAATTGACCAGTTATTAACAATATTTGAAGCTATTGTTAAAAATCTTGATAAAACGAGACTTCCTCTAAACGTTCCATCGTCTTTAATTGTTTTATTGATTGCCTCTAAGGCATTGTTTGTACTTGGTGTATAAAGTTGTAAACCTTCGTACCAACCATCATTTGATTTAAGCCACTCGTTATCGAAATAATTCAAAAACTCTAAGATTGCTTGGTTTGTTTGTTGTTCATTTTCCATTTCTTGATAAATAATGCTGATGCTAATTTAAATATAACTGTAGAATTACACAATTGAAGCATTTCAATATCTTCCATAATTTCTTTTGCAATATCTTTATCATTTATATGACATACGATTTTCAACAATCCTTTTCATATGTGCCCAGCACATTATTTGATTATAAGAATTGCCAAAAACATTTTTTAAACCATTTTTAATCGAATCAGCAGCATCACATATCAATGCAGTTGGTTTTAATAAATCTTTATTTATTCTTTACAATCCAATTTGAATACAATTGAAAATAAATTCAAAATCTTTTGTTTTTTCATTTGAACATATTGCTAAACCAAATGGATGAAATGCTTTGTTTAAATCAGTTGTACCAATGATTAATACTGGAAAACCTTGCCATACTAATTTATATGTAGCATCAGAACATAAATGTGACGACATAGATATGATGCCGAGCAAACGAACAGATGATATAAAGATACGAAATTTATTTCCACCATCATCTTCTACATCTTCATCGTCTTCATATTCCTCATCATTATATAATATCTTGTATGATACAACAAAAGATTCATTTTCATCAGTTGGAATATTTTTATTATTTTCACACCGCTGTTCTAATTCACCTAAACTAATTTTATGAGAACCATATTTCTTTTTTTTAATAATATACAAGATAATTGTTTAGCTGTGTACACGTTGGCATCTTTACTTTTCTTGCTTGAAGTGCTCGAATAATTTGTTTTGGTTTCATTATACCATCATTAAATAATTCTTCTATGCACTTTTTAACATTTTCATCAATACCACGAACTTTGTCAACATGATGATCGTGTTCAGCTTCAGTTTTATAAATGGTAACTTTATCATGGTCTGCATGGTATAGCAGATAAATACTTACACTACATTGAGGTCCACGAAGTTTGGCTTTGTTGCATCTATAATAAACCATTCTTCCATTTTCTGTATGGTTTGTATAGTATTTTGACCACTGATCTAAAATTGATGCTTCTGCTTCAGCAGCAGTATCAAGTGTACGTTCTTTTATCCAACATTTTTTTAATTTCTTTTTTTTTGAAAGTTTTTCATTTTCATTTATTCTATAATTTTCTTCAACAAACTCTTCATTCGATGTATCACTTTCATATTGAGCAACTTGTACCACTTCCATCTTTCTAATTTTTGACAATCAGCTGAATGTGAAAGAAAGAACAGAAACAAAGAGTAAACGCATATATGTCGTACTTGTTATCTGTACGACATATGAACCAAAAGAAACAAAGAAGAAAAAAGTGATTCACCTTATAATACATTTCAGTTTTTATACTGATCCTTTAATTTAATTTACTGATTTTTAAATATATCAATATATCGAATTATTTTAATAACTGATCATGTAAGTAACCTACTGATCATTCATTTATTCTACTGATCATTCAATTATTTTACTGATTTTATATTTATTTTATGTACTGATCATTTCATTTATTTTACTGATTACTTAAATGATAGCCATTGTTAATTGAGTAGATACAATCAGAAAATGATTTCATCGTTATTGAGGTCATATCAAGATTACGAATATAAAGTGGATCAAATACTAATTCATCAAGCCGTTTACTAACACCCACAGGTGAAGACAGAACGTCGACCATATTTAGTTTCTTAAATTATGAGTAAAAATTCATTTGGTAAATCAAGTAGATGGAGATGATTGTTATTCGAAATGTTTATGTCTAATTTATTCTGTTCAACCGTGTTAATTTATATATATATATCTATTTTTCTCATTGCTGTTTGAGAGAACAAGGAGGGATAAATATTCATGTTATAATAATAGGCTATGATGAATAGATGATGGCATTTTTCTTTGTGGAGCATTCGCTTTTGCTTATTGGCCGGTCATTCGTCAGATCATTCTTCTTGTGTCACAATGTTTGTCATATATTATATACTTTTTAGAATACACGAGTAACACGTCGATCTCAAGTGCCTTGCTTAAATCAATTTTGAAAAATCGTAGAAAGGTTGTGTGTCATGAAAGTATACACAATCTGATTTGATATTATATCTGATAGACTAAAAGTAATCTTTAGCGAATCCTGGCGTTAGATTTAAATATTTTTAAAATCGGACTTAAAGTTGAACGTCAACATTTACGATACGCCTCATCACATTGATAGCATGCCGTTGTATTTGACGATTTAGTATGGTATATTTTCGATTTAACAAGATGTACTTTTTACCGGAGTGATTAGCAATATAATTCGAAATACTTCGAAATAGGAAATGTTAATCAAAATAAGAATACTAAAGTTTAATGAACGACACTCTTAAAAACAGTCACAAAAATAAGCTTTCTTGTCGATTGAAAATGGGACAAAAATAGTAAGAACAGAGAAGTTATCTTTTTTACAGGAAAAAAAAGGGATGATTTTCCCATACACGAATATATAGAGATAATCAAAATATTCTGATCTTTCTTTTTTCATTGTTCCTTACGCAGCTTAATGATCGCTCCCAACAAAAGCAGTTGTTTGCAAATTGCCAGCATAATTTTCTTTGGTCGTATAAGTGAATCACTTCGACAGCATAAAGCAACTTCAGATTTTGAAAATATTGTGATCTTAATGATGCATTATGGATGCATAAGTATTATATACCGCATTTATGAGGGATTTCAGTTCTGTATTGAGAATTGAAGATGAGGAAAAGTGAAGATTAGAAAAGGAAATTCGAATGCAAGATTTGGTTTTTGCAAAATATATTTGAATTGGAAGATCTTTTTGTCAAAAATGGTTTGAAAGTTTTTGAATCTTTGGAAACCTTTGTTAATTAAAAAAAACTGGAAAACTAATTTAGGTTCTTCGTAGTACCTTTTTACGCGTCAGAAACTTCGGAAATTCACAGCGTTTCCGAAGGAACACCATGGAAACCAAAATGATATCATCAGATACACTTTCAGAACCTAGATCAAATTTTTCCGAAAAAAAAGCAGTTTTGTAAAATACTTTTAGAGTTTCCAAGAATACTCAACAAGTTTTCGACAGCAACAAAAAAGTATTCTAGGATGTAAAAATTGGTATTTTCGAAAACCCTTGGGTTTCCAAATCTTCGGAAATCAAGAAGATATTTTCGAAAACGATTGAGAAGATCGAAAACCCTTTAGTAAACCCTAAAAGGTTTTCCGATGGGTTTGAGTTTCCTACGTTACGTTTTTCTTTTAGAATGTGAAAGTGACGAATAGTCTACAAATCATGTGAGTATAATCGAACAGTCTAATAAAAATATACTGGTATCATGATTTTCTTGTTGTTTTTTCATTTTGATCTAACATTATCTTACGAAATTCTTATTCTTATCCTATCGTACTCTGCTATTCCTCACAAAATCTTTACTCTGATCTTAGCTTACCCTGTCTTTTTTCTGCAAAACTTCTAGCATTACCTTACTCTCATCCTACTTTATCCTGCACATCTTAAAATATAAATCGATTAATTAACTTAGACTGAAAAATAAAAGTTTTTGCATTAATACCAAAGTTTGACGTGAGTTAATTTTCCAAATTCGACTTCGCTCTCACACAAACTTGCGCAGTTCTCTTAGAAGGATTTGTTATTTTGTTTTCAGTTAAATGAATGCAAAACAGAGTCGATTATGCTAATCACCATTAAGAGTTTAATTTTAGTATAAAATGTTTGCAGTGTGAAGAAACAAAAATTTTGACTTTTAGATAAATTATCAAACGATATGTTTGCGCAAATAATAATTTTTCTTTTCTTTGAAGGACGCATGAATTGTCGAGGATCTTCACTCATTGATATATTGTAATTTAAAAAATATTAACTCGATAGGTGGTTACGAACAAGAGCTTCTTTTCGAGTTAGAATTTAAATTCTAGAAACATTTATCTGTTTATTCATTAAAACGAATTAAACAAAAACCAAGTTAAAATCCCAAGTAACTCTCATTGACTCATTATTATAACATAGAGATGCATTTTACTAAATTCATTGATGTGGCCGTTCGCAATTTGATCCATTTTAACTTTATTCGAGTTTTTTCTCAGAATCGAAATTCAGAGAATTTGCTTTCAGAGATTTACAGCACCTTACGAATATTTTGACCTCATCCAGAAATAGGTTTTACGTAAAATAATATTGCGTCTAAGATTTTAAAAGCATTTGGGAAATATAGACGTGAGCCACATTATTATCACGTCGTATTTCCAATATAACGTTGTGCGTATGTGAAGTAAGGTTTTTTCTGTCATTTTTTTCAATATTACAAATTAATACGAGCAGTCGATTTGTATTTTGACAATTCGGGAAATTTTTTGAATAACCTTCTTTCGTTGGGAGAAGTTTTTCATTTTAACAGCATATTCAGCATCTCTGAGGGTCAAGGTGAAAACTGTGATAAATGAAAAGTCTTGCCGATTCTTCGACAAAAATTTTGGACGAATTCTATTTATCTACACCCACCCCCGCCTTCTCTAATCATACCATGAATGTAAGAAAGTTCCACCTACTTGTTACGATGAATCAATGTTTTGAATAGTCAATTAATTTTAATTGAAATATTCCGTTAAAATTAGTATCATCATGAACAGTTTATTAGATAGATATACAACTTTGACAGAGCTTTGGGAGGAATCTTTTTTTATAAGCAGAACACTAATCATCGTGTGACTGTAGTTTATTTTTTTTTGCGTTGACATAGAACTGTATTTTGAACCATGTCGAAGAACTATATATTTCTTTACGTTTTCATAAACTTTTCGAAGAGTTTATGAGAATGGAACGAATACTAACATGAAGAACATTCTAGAAGAACTTATGAGACGTTGTTGAACCTGTTTTCAAAAATAAAAAAAAGTTTGTATGAGTTATAATTTTTTTTCCTTTCCGCTATATAATCGTTCTCATTTTATATTCTGTTCTCTGTAATCAAGAATTGTCATGCACGATGTCTGATCATTGTAATTTAGCCGATTCCGACCGACAGCTTGTCGCTCGCTTTACTCAACTCTTCCAAAATGGAAATTATATCCAAGCGGCTAAAGTAGCTGGAACCACTCTATGAGTACGATGTTGGATCTCAGGATATTTATTTTTGATTAATTCGATTTCCTTTTCTCACTCAAGGGTATTCTTCGTACGCAACAAATCATTCAACAATTACAAATGGTTTCATCACAACCAAATCAACCATCACCATTGCTCGAATAGTTTAGTATTTCTCGGAAACAACCAAATTAAATTGTGAAATATCGGTCGAATTATGTAAGGCAAAAATGGCTCAAAGAAGATAAGGTCGAATGTCTTAGAGAGCACAAATAATAATGTAGGAGTAGAAGGATAAGATGATTAAAAAGGAAAAACAAGGTTTGATTTCTGTTTTTCAAGCTTGAATGTAGCGAACAATAGAGTGATCTAATCAAATCGGTCGATCCAAAGTTGGCACTCTCAGTCTACCTTTATGCAAATGTACGGATGAAAGTCATTCAATGTTTTGCCGAAACGGGTCAAAATCAAGAAATGATACTCTATTCCAAGAAGATTAATTTTCAACGAGACTATATCTTTCTATTGCGTAATATCATCCGTTCCGATCCAGAATAAGGCGTGCAATTCGCACAGATTATTTGATCAATACAGCGTGTTTTCTTTGTTTGTGTTGTTGATTGTGTATGCGTAGTTATTGATTTAGGATGAAGAACCACTAGCTGATTTGATACGAGTGACCAATGTTTTCCTCGAACAGAACCTCATTAAACAATGTACAACCTTTTTACTCGATGCGCTAAAGAACAACACACGTCTACTCAATTCGGATGTGAGTCGATATGCTTGGTATTACCTTCTCTGATCTTTTATTTTTACTCAGTGGTTAATCAATTATTTTGATTATTTATCGGTCGGTGATTGTCTCGAATGTTTGAAGATTATATTATAAGCGAATATTCGACAAAATCTACAACTTGTCATGAAAATTGCAATTAAATATCATGAACAATTGGGTACAACAAAATTGATCGAATTATTCGAATAAATCCAGAATTTTGAATATAATATGAAGAAGAACGAAATCGAATTCGATCAGACGATGAAATTCATATGATAAAAGGAAAATCTCTCCTGGTAATAGCTCATTATGAGCATAGCGATG